TTGACATGAATCAGCCATGGGTGTACATGTGTCTCCATCCTGAACTCCCCTCCTACCTCCCTCCTCTTCCCATCCCTCAGGGTCATCCCAGTGCACCAGCCCAGAGCACCCTGTCTCATGCATCCAACCTGGACTGGTGATCTATTTCACATATGATAATATACATGTTTCATTGTTAATTCTCTCAAATCATCCCACCCTCTCCTTCTCCCACAGAGTCCAAAAGTCTGTTTTTACATCTGTGTCTCTTTTGCTGTCTCGCATATAGGGTCATTGTTAACATCTTTCTAAATTCCATATATATGCATTAGTATACTGTGTTGGTGGAGAAGGCAATGGCACCCCACTCCAGTACTCTTGCCTGGAAAATCCCATGGATGGAGGAGCCTGGTGGGCTGCAGTCCATGGGGTCGCTAAGAGTCGGACACAACTGAGCGACTTCCCTTTCACTTTTCACTTTCATGCACTGAAGAAGGAAATGGCAACCCACTCCAGGGTTCTTGCCTGGAGAATCCCAAGGACGGAGGAGCCTGGTGGGCTGCCGCCTGTGGGGTCGCACAGAGTCGGACATGACTGAAGCGACTTAGCAGCAGCAGCAACAGCATACTGTATTGGTGTTTTTCTTTCTGACTTAACTTCGCTCTGTATAACAGCCTCCAGTTTCATCCACTTCATTACAACTGATTCAAATGCATTCTTTTTAATGGCTAAGTAATATGCCAATGTGTGTATGTATCACAGCTTTCTTATGCATTTATCTGCCAATGGACATCTAGGTTGCTTCCATGTCCTGGCTGTTGTAAACAGTGCTGTGATGAACACTGGGGGGTACACGTGTCTCTTTCAATTCTGGTTTACTCGGTTAGTATGCCTAGCAGTGGGATTGTTGGGTCGTATGGCAGTTCTGTTTCCAGTTTTTTAAGGAATCTCCACACTGTTCTCCATAGTGGCTGTACTAGTTTGCATTCCCACCAACAGTGTAAGAGGGTTCCCTTTTCTCCACACCCTCTCCAGCATTTATTGTTTGTAGACTTTTTGATAGCAGCCATTCTGCCTAGCATGAAATAGTACCTCATTGTGGTTTTGATTTGCATTTCTCTGATAATGAGCGATGTTGAGCATCTTTTCATGTGTTTGTTAGTCATCTGTATGTCTTCTTTGGAGAAATGTCTGTTTAGTTCTTTGACCCATTTTTTGATTGGGTCGTTTATTTTTCTGGAATTGAGCTGCAGGAGTTGCTCATATATTTTTGAGATTAACTCTTTGAAAGACATATTTTTAAAATAGCAAGTATTTTTCCAAATTCATTTAGTCACTTCTTTTTTCGGTCAGAGAAGGAATTTGGCTAAAAGGCCACGAAAGCAGAGATAAATAAATGGCCAAACTCCAAGATTCATGTGTAGTTGTGAAGTCCCAAAACAAAAGCTGTATCCTTTTGAAGTAGACTTTATACACGAATTTCCTTTGATTACTAAAGAAATTCCTCTTGCCTCTGAAGATTTTATATAAAGTTATATATTAAAAAATTTCCAAGGAATAAATCATATACATTAAGAAAATATGCCACTCTTTTAAGTATGTATTAGGTATTACTTTAGGCATTAATTTAGAAAATGTCATTGTCATTCTGTGAAACTCTCTTTTATGGCCTTCCGTGGGACTAAACCTTTGGCAAACACTTTGAATCATTAACATCACCAGTCAACCTTTCTACACTGTTAAGAGTCTTTCTTACTCTTTGTCCAAAGTTACAAGGTTCTGGTTCATGCTGCTTGAATCTGAAGAGATACTAGACACCAACACTTCCCACAAAAAAAAAGCAACGAGGTCTAACAACAATCCACTCCAGTAATTCCACCAAGGTGATTTTTTTCTTAGCTCTAAAGTTTAGACTCAGAGATAAGCACAAAGCTGATACATCTCTGGCTAGTACAACCATAAATAAAGCAAAGACAGGTCATCTCTAACTGAACTTTCTGCTGGAATTTGGCACTGCCCATGTTACTTCTTAGATCAGCAAAATAGATTTAAATTACTCTAAGCAAAACAGATGTAAATATACACCTTATATGATTATGAAAAACAATGAACTTTCATCACTGTGACTTCCCTTAGTGAACCATACATAAAACTGTCTTGTTCAATAAACACTGAGTGACTGGCATTATGCTGAGAGTCAGTTGTAATAATAAAAAAGCATATGGCACTTCCTGTCTTTCAGAGGCTTGTGATACATATGAGAACACAAGCCTTGAGACCAAAAAACTAGGGACCAATAAAGAAGGAACTTTTTTTTACAAAAGCAGGTGTTATATGATACAATAAACAGTTAATGAAGCTCTAATGGCTCATCACAATCTTTTTCTCAGACTAGTTGTCCAAGCTATTCCTTCTGCATAAACTTGCTGGTACATTTAAAGAAATCCACCCTATTTCCTTGGTCACAAATGAGTGGACCATGGATCATGAGCCAGATTACTGCAGAAATTCCATATAATTATATATATAATCAAACTCTCTTTTATGTTTGGGGAGTCTGAATAAGATATGTGAGAAAAAGACTAAAGTGGAATTACTGGAGCTGCTGTTGAATCAGGAATGACAACAAGCCACTATTCTAATTTTCCATGAGGCCTAGTGTACGTTCCAAGCTATGAAATGTAAGAGTTGGTTTATTAAATAATGGTATACTAAACAGTCAATAGCTACATCTACTTTTTTAAATATTAAAATATTTGTTAAACACATGTCCAATTATAAAATAAAACAATATGGTTTGCTTATTGGCTCTGTTAATTTTCATTTATACTAAGCAAAATCTGGGGGCATCAAAATTCCTATACTTCTTAATTCCTAATGCAGTCACACAGTATCAATTACAGTAACTTCTGTCAATGAAATTAAGAGCCTGAGTGAGACTTCTACATCTTTCTTTTTATCCCCTTATTTATTTTTATTGCGATTTCTACATCTTTCTGCACAAGAAATGATGCCACTTTCCTTTTTGATAAAACTGTTAGAATGTTTTATACTGAAAAAAATGGAAAAGAAAACTAAGCATGTAAGCATGAGATCATTATGTCTCTCATTTTCATTTTAGCAAGAACAAAAAGATCCCAGGATTTAAGAATCAAATTCTTGTCCAATGACATAGTCATGATGATAAAATTAACTTCCTTATCCCTACTTTGAAACAAAATAAAGCAAGAAAAAGTAAAAAAGGATGCTATCTCTAACAACTTCGAATGTTATCTAGTTAAAGTTCATGCCTATCTTTACCTTTCCTGGATACAAAACACTAAGGTATGATAAATCAGTAATTAGGAAATGAAAAACTCAAACAGAATGTGAGACAGTCCAACAGTTTTCTTAAACATGAGACAGTTCCTTCCAGAACATCAGAAGATTGGAGAGAGGGTGACAAATAATTTTCTAGTAGCACTTTTCACAGCAAACTAATGAGAAGTAGCTTTTACAGATGTAAGAAATGTAATGTATTCATTTAAAAAAAAGAATAGCATTCATCTTCCTTTGTAAAAACACAGTCCTTTTAAGGCTACGATAATTTTCTTCATAACAAATACTGTTCCCCTAAAAAAATGTTACTAGTCACGATGTCAATCTGTGGCTTGGCAACTGCTACTTTTAATGTATACTGTGCTGTTTTCATCAAATAATACAGAGATTATCCCAAACCTATGGAAAGTATTCAGCTATTTCAGTGTTTCTTTTGTGGTTATATTCATTATATACATACATCAACACATTCCTTCAAGTCTTAACACCCATCAAGTCTCTTCTTCAGAGTGCTGGATCCCATTTACATTTCCCCTCAACATGACAGTGTCAACCCAAAACAACAACAAGTTCTCATCAGCCAGTACAGCTGGAGCCTTGCCGAAACCCTGTTTTCAGCTGCCCCTTTGCTGCTGAAAATGAACTTTGAGGCTGGTGCAGTATAGAAATACACCAGTTACATCTGAGAGAACAGACTGAGCACACGGAATTCTTGAGAAAAGGCAGAAGTTATGAGATACCTTCACTACAGTATCCCAAATCTCCTAACACATTTGATTAACGACCACACACACATGAAATCTTTGACTGCCCTAATCTTCAAGTCCAAAATTCTGAGCTGCTACATATTTATACTTCAGGAAAAGAATTAACTGAAAATTTCAGTGATAGTGAGTTGTGACCATAATCAGAGAATGAATCGTTTATTGTCACCATATGCTTATTTCTATCATGCCTCTCTACATTCTTTAAAAAAAGAAAAAGGAAAACCTAAGATACAAACTACCAAGGAATTCTAACCTATTCATGTGTTACTGGTTTAACATACAATACTTTAACAGAGATATTCAAATGGCAAGTCTATGAAAAATGTATTTTCATTTTAGAGGAAAAGTAGATGGCATGAAAATGCATCTTACCCCATTTAGTCTAACATTTGTAACATTCAGAAGTGGTCATATAAACACTTTCTTTTGCATAAATGACTTACACATTCTTCACTAATAAGAGTAAATGCTTAATGAAGGAGAGAGAAAAGAACAGAAAGTCTCAGTCACATATATCCAAACATTCCACAAGTAATGTATTAATCAGCCCATAACTCATATTAAGCTAAAATTTAGGAAGTCTACTTTCCAATAACCAAATGGGAAAACCACCATAAAGCCTAAAAAGAAATTTTTATGTTTTTACTTCTCCTTTAGTTATAAACAAACAATATGGCTATAGGGACAACAAAGAATAAAAATCAATAAGCATCTTATATTTTCCAAATATGGTCTGGTATCAACTCCATGTTCCTCTTCATAACTTGAACAGCTCAAAGTCAAGTTCGTATTATAGCACTTAGAGTGTCCCACTCATACAATTTATTTTATATTGCTTCCTGTCCCATATATTTTTATCTTCCACAGTATTCAGTCCAATGCCTTATGTACAGCAAGTATTCAAAAATATCTTTTATTCTTTCAAAATGAACTTACCCTTCGAAACGACACAACATAAAACGTGTCTCCCCTTCTGCGGATGGCTTCAAAGAAGTCTTGATAACTTCTGGGTGAAGCATAATATACCTGTAGCTCACTCCCTGAATTCCTGCTGAAGTAAGAAAATGGCAAAGTGCTCTTAAACTGATGAATTTCTATCCTCTCAAAATGCTTCCTAATCTAAGGTAATATCTGAATCATAAGAATCTCTCTCAACCAAAACATTAGTAGCATTTTGGCAGCAATTTTTATAATAACATTTTGAAAAGCTAAGATCTAGTTCACTAAAGCTAAACTCTCATTTCTGAATCAAGGCTCTAAAATGTACCAGTCAAGTGCATTGCAAAGTATGTGAAAACAACAGAAGTAACAGAAAATAGACTTCTGCATCAGTCTGCATGATTTTAAAATTTCGGTAACAAAAATTAAGTCTGAAGAAAAGTTCTTTTTCACCATTCTGTCAAATCTGTGAAAGTACACTTGCCTATGAGGCTGTACAAAAGTGAAAAAGAGTTTAGGATTTGGAAACAAATATACCTGTCTCTGAATTCCTGTTCCACCCCTCAAGTGGGCATTCTGGGGGAAATCCATCCCTGAGCAACTTCATTTTCCTCATCAGTAAAAAGAGGGTAACCACATAAACCATTCAGGACTGTCACTGGGGTCAGAGATGTTAGTACCAAGCATGTTACTCCTATGGGTCCTGTTCCATAGGAGTCACTCAATGATTATTAGCCATAGATATTAAAAGTATCATGTCAGTGCCTTGGTAAAATTATATCTAAAAATGTAACACCTCAAACCACATCATATCCCAAAAGATGTACTCAAATGGTATTGATGTAGTTCTTACTAATATTTTCAGAGTCTTTTATTGTTTAGCACAGTAAGCTAACACCCAAAAATTAAAGAGAGTAAAAAAAATGTTTTTCTTCAAAAACAAAATCATATATATTTAATTCTTATAGGTTCTTCTATGTCTTCAAACTTTTATTAACTTAAGAGGAGGGAAAGATTGACCTAAAAGGAAATTACAAATGAGCCATAAAAACTTCCTCTGAAATAATTTCATGTACTCAATAGGCCATTTCTAACTATAATATTTTGCCTAAACAACTCTTATTATTTACGGTAGTTATGTTCTGTAAAGTCAGTGTGAACTCTGAATGAGAAAACACTGAACCACTCTCCTAAGGGAAATACAGGTTAGGTTCCTGTGAGCCCTTAGTTACAGCATTATTGTTAACTGATCAACATATAACCTTGCTTTATATGTTTCCATTTAAAGACATTTTCTTTAACAAATACTGTTCACTCATTAACAAAGCACTCACAGTCAACAGCGTTATAACCTGTGTACAAATGAAGTTTATCTAACACATATTTTCTCTACATGGCACAATACAGCTTTCTCAAGCTCTTACAAACACTAGGCAGCACACTTCAGAACTATGCTTGGGGGCAATTTGAAATGATGAATTTACAAGCAAAAATCATAGAATGTAAAAAATATGGCACTAAATAGATCTCGGAAAGGACAAGTGCTTATAGTATGAGAGCTGAAACAGGAAGCCAAAGTACTGGTTTGCTGAAATTCACCTGGGAAAGCAAATGACCATGCAAGTACCTTGAGTACTGACTGGGGGTAAAAATAAATTTTCTCCAGTAAGAGAAATACATAAATACAGAATGCATGAATAAAGAAGATCAACTATAATTCACTTTAAAACATTTTTTAAAAACTGTTTTTTAAATAGCAGTTTAGGTTTAAGCAGTTTTCAGTTTTAAATAGCAAGTTTGAGATTAAAAGAAATGCAAAAAGGCAAAATGGTTGTCTGAGGAGGCCTTACAGATAGCTGTGAAAAGAAGAGAAGCAAAAAGCAAAGGAGAAAAGGAAAGATATTCCCATTTGAATGCAGAGCTCCAAAGAATAACAAGGAGAGATAAGAAAGCCTTCCTCAGCGATCAATGCAAAGAAATAGAGGAAAACAAAAGAATGGGAAAGGCTAGAGATCTCTTCAAGAAAATTAGAGATATCAAGGGGACATGTCATGCAAAGATGGACACAATAAAGGACTGAAATGGTATGGACCTAACAGAAGTAGAAGATATTAAGAAGAGGTGGCAAGAATACACAGAAGAACTATACAAAAAAGATCTTCACGATGAAGGTAGTCATGATGGTGTGATCACCAGACTAGAGCCAGACATCTTCGAATGTGAAGTCAAGTGGGCCTTAGGAAGCATCACTACGAACAAAGCTAGTGGAGGTGATGGAATTCCAGTTGAGCTATTTCAAATCCTGAAAGATGATGCTTTGAAAGTGCTGCACTCAATATGCCAGCAAATTTGGAAAACTCAGCAGTGGCCACAGGACTGGAAAAGGTCAGTTTTCATTCTAATCCCAAAGAAAGGCAATGCCAAAGAATGCTCAAACTGCCTCACAATTGCACTCATCCCACACCCTAGTAAAGTAATGCTCAAAATTTTCCAAGCCAGGTTTCAACGGTACGTGAACTGTGAAATTTCAGATGTTCAGGTTGGATTTAGAAAAAGTAGAGGAACCAGAGATCAAACTGCCAACATCCGTTGGATCATCAAAAAAGCAACAGAGTTCCAGAAAAACATCTATTTCTGCTTTATTGACTATGCCAAAGCCTTTAACTGTGTGGACCACAACAAACTGTGGAAAATTCTTCAAGAGATGGGAATACCAGACCACCTGATCTGCCTCTTGAGAAATCTGCATGCAGGTCAGGAAGCAATAGTTAGAACTGGACATGGAACAACAGACTGGTTCCAAATAGGGAAAGGAGTACATCAAGACTGTATATTGTCACCCTGCTTATTTAACTTATATGCAGAGTACATCATGAGAAATGCTGGGCTGGAGGAAGCACAAGCTGGAATCAAGATTGCCAGGAGAAATATCAATAACCTCAGACATGCAGATGACACCACCTTTATGGCAGAAAGCAAAGAAGAACCAAAGAGCCTCTTGTTGAAAGTAAGAGAGGAGAGTGAAAATGTTGGCCTAAAACTCAACATTCAGAAAACCAAGATCATGTCATCTGGTCCCACCAGTTCATGGCAAATAGATGGGGAAACAGTGGCTGACTTTATTTTTGGGGCTTCAAAATCATAGCAAATGGTGACTGCAGCCATGAAATTAAAAGATGCTTGCTCCTTGGAAGAAAAGTTATGACCAACCTAGACAGCATATTAAAAAGCAGAGACATTACTTTGCCAAAAAAGTCCATCTAGTCAAGGCTATGGTTTTTCCAGTAGTCATGTACGGATGTGAGAGTTGGACTATAAAGAAAGCTGAACACCAAAAATTGATGCTTTTGAACTGTGGTGTTGGAGAAGACTCTTGAGAGTCCCTTGGACTGCAAGGAAATTCAACCAGTCCATCCTAAAGGAAATCAGTCCTGAATATTCATTGGAAGGACTGATGCTGAAGCTAAAACTCCAATACTTTGGCCACCTGATGTGAAGAACTGACTCATTTGAAAAGACCCTGATGCTGGGAAAGATTCAAGGCAGGAGGAGAAGGGGACAACAGAGGATGAGATTGTTGGATCGCATCACCGACTCAATGGAAATGAGTTTGAGTAAACTCCAGGAGTTGGTGATGGACAGGGAGACCTGGCGTGCTGCAGTCCATGGGGTCACAAAGAGTTGGACACGACTTAGTTACTGAACTGAGAAATTAAAAACATTTTTAACTAATGAAGAAATAATATACCATCATAATAATGTGTCAAAAAATGAATATATTTTTAACATACACATAGTAATTGAATAAAATATTCTGGTTACAGAGATCTATAAGTTACTCCATATAGCTGAACAATCTATTTATATAAGATAATGATGAGAACAAGCTTAAGATGGAAGCAAGCTGTCCATTTCAACTTTACTGAAATACTGCGCATTTAGAATTCCTTAACCAAGAGCCTCCACACTTTCTTACCTGATACTAGTGGTTTCTGTGTATTGGACAGCCATGAGCTGAGAATTTGAGCCCTGTTCCAGAGCACCCTGAAAGAAAAGAAAATGTTTTAATGTTACATAATGAAATGATATGAGAAGTTTCCTGTATTGACTCATTCTATATTTACATTTACTAAACTTCATTAAGGTATTCTTAAAGATTTTTCATGAATATTCTAACATATTAAGTTTACATAACTAAATACCAATAAAGAAATCAGAACTCATATGGTCATATTCTGAGCTGAAAGATGTGTCTTAGGGACAGTAAGACATTTAAGGGTCTTCCCATATATATGCAAGATATAGCCACAAATCTTAGTCCAAGTATCACAGGTTTTAAGACCCGCTCATACAAGTATTACTGAATGTATAACAACTTAAGCATTAGTTGCTCAGGCATGTCTGACTCTTTGCGATTCCATGGGCTACAGCCCAAAAGGCTCCCCTGTCCATGGAATTCTCCAGGCAAGAATACTGGAGTGTGTAGCCATTCCCTTCTCCAGGGGATCTTCCCAACCCAGGGATCAAACCCAGATTGACTGCACTGTGGGCAGATTCTTATTGTCAGAGCCACCAGGGAAATCATTAACAACTTGTGTTTGTCTCAAATAATTATTTTCCCAATGAAAATTTCCTAAAGTATGAAAAGAAAGTGAAAGTCACTCAGTCATATCAGACTCTTTGCTGACCCCATGGACTGTATAGTCCAGAATACTGGACTATACTATACTTCTAGGCCAGAATACTGGAGTGTGTAGCCTTTCCCTTCTCCAGGGGATCTTCCCACCCCAGGGACACATCTCCCGCATTGCAGGCAGATTCTTTACCAGCTGAGCCACAAGGGAAGCCCACAGTATGCAACGTCCAGAACAGAACTAGATCCTGATGTTTATTTTGAGTAAACACAGAGATCTGCATGCCTAAATACAGACCTATAGATCAGTCCATCACTGAAGAGACCTCACCAGTGACTCTTCGCCTTCTGGAACCATTAGTGGTCTTCACAGACTACAGGAGAAACCTGTCTCCCACTTAGCATCTGCCCTGCACTGTGTCTTCTCACACACCCCGGCAGCTTGGAAAACTGATCTTTCAAGCAAGTTTTATAAGACTATCAGAGTTCAAGAGCACATTAGGAATTGACTTTACTATTACCCTGTCAGTGACTTAACTGTTTGTTAAGTCACTTCAGTCGTGTCCGACTCTGTGCGACCCCATAGACAGCAGTCCACCAGGCTTCCCCATCCCTGGGATTCTCCAGGCAACAACACTGGAGTGGGTTGCCATTTCCTTCTCCAATGTGTGAGAGTGAAAAGTGAAAGTGAAGTCGCTCAGTTGTGTCCGACTCTTAGCGACCCCATGGACCACAGCCTACTGGGCTCCTCTGTCCATGGGATTTTCCAGGCAAGAGTACTGGAGTGGGTTGCCATTGCCTTCACAGAACTAACTGTTTAATCACAAGATTACTAGCATTTGTTTGTTACTGTATCCATCCATTCTTCCTTCAGCAATCAAACTTTCACAGAATGTGCCTAATACACGTATAGGTGCTACAGAATTTGACTTCTGCCATCAAGAAGTTTGCAGTGTAACTGGGAAGACAATAGAATATAATGCTAAAACACAAGAATATACAAAGGGTTAAGGGAAGAGAAGAGGGAACAATTTTGGTTGGTGGTAGATGGAACCAATATGCAGGGATGAATAGAGGGCTTCCAATTCTTGGCTCTGTAACAAGTCAAGGGTCTTATTTTATGAAAAACTAATGTAGGTCTTAAATATAGTAAGTGCTCAAAAATGCATTAAACAAAAAAAGAGAACACATAAAATGAAAAGAAAAAGATACTTAAATAATAAAATATTATACTTACTGATATGCTTATCAAGTAGTAAATAAAGCCAAAATTAAACTACAGCTAGTGGATAATACAAATTTTAAAATAAACAGATTAAATAGCTAATGAATTTTAAATGATTTTGCTACTTTGGCACATACGAAATAAGCACAGAAGTCTGAAAAAAGCCAGACTTCTTTCCATAGACTCAGAAATGAGTGGGTAGGCTTTAAAGAAACCTGAGTTACTTACAGAGGCAGCACGCAAAGAGAAACCAAACATGCCATTTACCTATGCAAGATTTATACCAATAAACAAAGGGACTTGTGAAAATTTGGCCATGAACTTCAACATTTTTAGCTCTGTGGACTTAGCACAAGGTTACAATCAGAAAAAAAAAGTGAGACATTTACATAGAAGTGAGAAAGATGTTAAACTCTCCAATTATGTTGTAGATTTGTTTTTCCCTTTAGTTCTGTCATTTTTCTGCATTATGCTTTTGAAACTTTATTATTTGGAGCCTATACATTTAGAATTGTTAGAACTTCTTGATTTAATGCTCCTTCTCTCAATATAAAATTTCTTTGTCTTCTGTAATATTCTCTGTCTACTTTGATTAACACAGCCACATCAGCATTCTAAGACTTAGTGTTTGCACATAAAACACACTTCACCCTTTATTTTGCATCTGTCTGTGTCTTTATGTTTAAAATGTCATTTCTTGCAAACAGCATATAGTTGAGTCTTCCCTTTTAAAAAATCTAGTTTGATAATTTCTCCCTTTTAATTGATATGCTTAGGCCATTAACTTTAATTACTAATATAACTGAGTTTGTTTCTACTACCCTGGTATATATTTTCTATTTATCCTAATTATTTTTTATTTGTTTATTCTTTTGGCTGAAATATACACTTTTTTAGCATTCCATTTTTACTGCCGATATCACCTTTTTAGCTATTCCTTGTGTTCATTTTTAGTGGTTGTTCTAGAGATTATACTTTGATCTTTAAGCTACCAGTCTACCTTCAAGTATTACTTGAACAATATAAAAACTTTATAAGAGTATAATTCCACTCATCCCCCTCCCTTTTTGTTCTTATTATCCTATATTTTACATCTAAACAAACTATAAACCCCACAACAAGCTGCTATAAGTTTTGCTTTTAAAACAGTCTTTTTAAGATCCCAAATAGTTAAAGCAATGTTGAAAAAAAAAAAAAATGGAGCTGGAAGAATCAGGGTCCCTGACTTCAGGCTATACTATAAAGCTATAGTCATCAAAAGAGTATGATACTGGCACAAAAATAGAAATATTGATCAATGTAACAGGACAGAAAAACCAGAAATGAACCCATGCACCTATGGTCAATTTATGACAAAGGAGGCAAGAATACACAGCATTAAAAAAAAAAAAACAACAGGATAGACACTACTTTAGAACCTTCCAATGCTATGATTTTCTCTCTGTTTGTTTGGCATGTGGGATCTTAATTCCCCGACCAGGGATCAAACCTGTGCTCCCTGCTTTGGGAGCGCAGGTCTTAATCATTGGGTCACCAGGGAAGTCCCCCAGTGCTATGATTTTCATAATCTGTAATTACCTAGGCAGTAATTCATGAGTTGATGGTGGTATGATTATCAATTTTTAAAAAAAAATTCATTTCTTAAAAAAAAAACAAAACAGTCTCTTCAACAAGTGCCATGGTGCCAGGAAAATAGGACCACTACATGTAAAAAAATGAAATAAGATCATTCTTTAATACCATACATGAAAATAAGCTCAAAATGGATTAAAGACCTAAATGTGAGACTGGACACTATAAAACTACTAGAGGAAAACACAGGCAGAAGACTCTGACATAAATTGCAGCAGTATATTTTTTGGTCTGTCTCCCAGAATAATGGAAATAAAAACAAACAAATGACACCTACTTAAACTCAAAAACTTTTACACAGAAAAGGAAACAATAAAGAAGACAAAAAGACATCCCATAGATTGGGAAAAATATTCACAAATGATGTGACTGACAAGGGATTAGTCTCCAAAATTTACAAACAGCTCATGATGCTTAACAGCATCAAAACAAACAATCCAATTAAAAAACAGGCAGAAGACCTAAACAGACATTTTTCCAATGAAGGCATATAGATGGTCAAGAGACACCTGAAAAGATGTTCAACACGGTTAATCATCAAAATGGCTATCATCGAAAAATCCACAAACAATAAATGCTAGAGAAGGTGTAGAGAGAAGGGAACCCTCCCACACTGTTGGTGGGAATTTAAATTGTTACAGCCACTGTGAAGAGCAGTATGGAGGTTCCTTAAAGAACTAAAAACAGAGCTACCATATGACCCTGCAATCCCACTCCTGGGCATATATTTGGAGAAAAACATGATCTCAAATGACACATGCACCCCAATATTCATTGCAGTACTGTTTACAATAGCCAAGACATGGAAGCAACCTAAATGTCCATCAACAGAGGAATGAATAAAGCAGATGGGGTACACATATACACTGGAATATTACTCAGCCGTTAAAAAGAATGAAATCATGCCATTTTGCAGCAACACGGATGGACCGAGAGATTGTCATAGTGAGTGAAGTTAAGTCAGACAGAGAAAGAGAAAAATCATATGACATCCCTTATATGTGGCATCTTTTTTTCTAAAAAGACATGATAAAAATGAACTTACAAAACAAAAAGACACTCAGACTTAGAAAATGGGTAAAGGGATAGTTAGGGAGCTTGGGATGGACATGTACACATTGCTATACTTAAAACAGATAACCAACAAGGACCTACTGTGTATATAGCACATGAAACTCTGCTCAATGTTATGTGGCAGCCTGGATGCCACTCCTAGTGGAGTTTGCGGAAGAATGGATACATGCATATGTATGGCTGAGTCCCTTCACTGCTCACCTGAAACTATCACATTGTTAACAAATCAGCTATACCCCAATACAAAAAAAAGGTTTTTGTGTTTTTTTAAAGATAATACTCTTTTAAAGACTTTGATATACACAAATAAAATAAAGATACTAAAAACAAACAAACAATAAAAAAAAACCAGCCATTTATTTTTATCCAGATATTTTACCCATTGTGGTGCTTTTTCACTGTTGATAATCTGGTGTTCTGTCTGGTACCATTTCCCTTAGTCTGAAAAACTCATGTTAGTATTTCTTATAGTGCAGATCT